TTTCTGCATTGATAGCTTTCTTTTTTGATACACTTAATTATAATGATAATCAGTTGAGATAATCATCAAAGACTTTTTTCTTAATTACAATACAATATCATTATATCATAAATATCAATATATAAAGCTAATGAAACACTATGCACCTACAATTATATTAGATTTAATTGAGCATTCATGAATATAAAATTTTTAAATAAATCCAAATCATCCGAACGTTAATAATAATAATTTTTATTGAAAAATTATTATGAGATTATAAGACTTTATAGAATACAATTTATAACAATTTATGATATTTATTATTTTCACTTTCAATTTTACTGAGAATTTTTTTAGAGGTTCATATGAATATACTTTATTATCTATATACGATTAAACAAAACATGTCAAATATAGTTTTTAACCAAATTGGATACTTATAAAGTTAACTATTAAGTAATAATTTATGAAACAACGCTTCAATTAAAAATATAAATGTTTCAGGAATATTATTGAAACAGTACATTATTAAGGGAAAGCTCAACTTCTGACCTTAGGCGTCAAAATATAACCTAGTAATTTCTTGGTATAATAAATTCTCCAAGATATTTATAATGTCTTGTTACACAATTACATATAATATTTTATTTAACCTAACTAGGTGTCATAAATTTCATTCAGTCAAAATATCTTAAATTAATCTTTGTAAAACATTGGTATACATTTTTATAAATGAAAAATAAGAAGTTCTTTGTTCTTTTTACAATTTTAATATTATTCTTAATAATATTACTATTTATTCTTTATACACTTTTAATATTCAAATACTATTTCTTCACGACTAACACAGTCACTATTAGATAAAATTTACGGTTTAAATAAAACACAAACTATAACTAGGTTAATCCACTGCGTAAATGAAATTTTAAATACTTTTGGTGTAATAATGTCACGTCTTGTTCTTGAGTTTTCAAAACCTTGAAACTAAATTACGTCCGCTAATTAATTATCTTAAGTTAATAATTACTATCATTAGTGGCAGTTGAAAAACATTTAGTTTACCAAATTTCGACGATAGTACTTCTGTATTTCTCTAATGATTGTTATTTGCACTGATTAGATGACAAGTTTATTATATTAATTTTATACATGTATTATCTATACCAATGAAACATAATCTCTTAATAGCTACTTATTATTAAGATTAAATGTTTTTAATGTGAAATAAATGTACTCTAGAATTTAATTTCATAAATTAAATTCATAACTTCGATGAAAACGCGTAAACATTACATCGACTCTGTTGTAAAGCAACAAAATCAAAAACTTACATAGAACAGATAGCCGTATAAGTTTTTACATTCTGTCTAATATAAGAGTTACCAAACAAAATAAGTTTAGAGTAAATCACATAACGTAAACCCGAGAAGTCGGTATTCTTAAGTTAACCTTTTTTCAGTTAAACTATATGCAATTATATTATTGTAATATTGGACACGTTTAACAAATATATATTATGTTTAAATAGATACACTGCATTGTTGAAGTAATAACTATCGTACTAGCATAAAAATAATAAGAATAAATAATTAAAATTAGAATCAATACTTTTATTAAATATCTTAACCTAATACACGAATACTAGTGTACTTTATAATTTAAAAGTCCGAACATTTTCAAATAGTTAATTAAATTTTTAAATTATGTATTTCTATGAAATAAAGTTATGTGTAGAGTTTGTAAGATAGAATTTCAGGAACATTTTCCTACTTTATATATTAAATAAACTTTTAGTACGATATTATTAGAAAATCAAGTTTATTTTTTCATAAATAATAAGCTCAGAGATTAATTGAATAAAAGGAAAAATAATATTCCTCTAATCTGTTTAATTTCGAAAAGTTTTAAAAGATATAAAATATTGAAACAAAATGTATGCTGAATTATTACTAAATCTAATTTACTTTAAACTTTTTACGAACAATTTTTAACTTCGTTGTGATACTGTGAAGGTATAGATTTTACTATAACGTGTTATTTGTTTGTGTCTGCCCATAAAAACTCTCAGTTTTAACTGACCGATGTTACTGATCTATTTAACTAGGTTAAAATAATTAAACCTAGTTGAAGATATTCTCCTCAAAAATTGAAAATTATCTTAAATTTTTTTGATCAAGAAAAATATCTAAACAAATTAGTATTGTTAGAAACAGTTAAATTTATTTTTTTTTCGTAATTTAAAATTTATATACATTTTTTTTTTAAACTGAAACAATGAAATTTTTTCACATATACTAAAGATAACACTGGTCTGCAACAAAATCCTCCTTCAGAAAACTATATCATAAATATGTAGATTTTGATGCTCTAAATCTGTTCTCGAAGGCCGATTTTTTCTATCACGTCTCAATTTTTCGATATGAATTTTTTTCGGAAATATCATAAATTTAGGTTTTTTTTAATTCGTTTTTAGTGTTAACATTATAAACAACGTATATACATACGAATTAGTTTTTTGTTAGTCGTAAGACAAAGAAAAAAAGGGCGGAAAGTGATTTTTATAGTAGTACATATGCGCCTGCGGCGTATTCACTGTGACTTTACAACAGTTAGTTGAAAACTCGTCTTTTGATTGTTTACGTTCTATATCAAATATTTTAGTAAGCTTTGCACAAAATTCATATTATATACATATGTATATATATATATTATAAACAGAGATAATAACTATAAAATAGAAATAAAATAATTTTTTCTAAATAGATTCCATTCAATTTTAGGTTATGAAATGCCGCGTACTTGTAAAAATTCTATAGACAGCTTTTGCTATATTTGTGGTGAGTTTACTCTGAAAACACAGCGAAATGCGATAACAGATCTCGTTAAAAAAGCTTATCAGCTTTATTTTGGATTCTCTATCAATGAAAGGGATAAAAGTTGGTTACCAAAAATTTGCTGTAATAGTTGTTCAAGAACGTTGAAAGGTTGGCTTGAAGGAAGTCACAAATCTATGCCATTTGCGATGCCAATGCTTTGGAGTGAACCTCAGAATCATGAAAATAACTGTTATTTCTGCATGACATCAACACGACGGATCTCGAAAAAGAATAAAAATAAGATTGTATATCCAATCCTCTCATCTGCAAAGAGACCAGTTTTTCGTGGTAAAGACAGTTTACCTCCAGTAGCTCCAAAAAATAGCGACAAGATGGAAAATAAAAATACTTCTGGTCTTCAGTCTCAATTGAGTTTCATTTCTACCTGTACATCTTCATCATCATACACTTTATCTGGATCTTCAAGCCCATCAAAAGAACCTTATCTTCTTAAACAACCTGATTTAAATGATCTCGTTAGAGATTTGGGGCTATCAAAATCTAAGGCTCAATTACTCGGATCAAGATTGAAACAGTGGAATTTGTTGGATGAAAGTACAAGAGTCTCATATTTTCGCACAAGACAAGAAGATTTTACGAGTTACTTTTCCAAAAAAAATGATTTAGTATATTGTAATGATGCTGCAGGGCTTCTTGAAGAATTGAGTTTTCCAGAAAATTCTGATGAATGGAGACTTTTTATTGATTCGTCGAAGATTAGTTTGAAAGCCGTTTTACTTCACAATGGAAATAAATACCCATCAGTTCCTCTAGCGCATGCAACTAGCATGAAAGAAAATTATGCAAATCTGGAGGTATTACTTGAAAAAATAAAATACTCTCAATACCTATGGAATATTTGTGCTGATTTAAAAGTTGTCGCTATACTTACTGGATTGCAAGGAGGATACACCAAGTTTTGCTGTTTTTTATGTAAGTGGGAGAGTCACGCGAGAGACAAACATTACAAAGTGAAAACTTGGCCACAAAGAAAAAGCTTGACACCTGGACTTAAAAATGTTTCTCAAGAACCTCTAGTGCCAAGTGACAAAATTTTTTTGCCACCACTCCATATAAAATTGGGACTTATGAAAAACTTTGTGAAAGTTATGGACAAGGATAGTGCAGGCTTTCAATATCTCAAAACAAAATTTCCTCGAATTAGTGACGCGAAATTGAAAGAAGGGATTTTTGTAGGTCCGCAAATACGAGAGCTTATGATGGATGAAGTTTTCAATTCGAAGTTGAAAAAAGCTGAAAAAAAGCTTGGGTGGCTTTTGTAAAAGTGTGTCATAATTTTCTTGGTAATACAAAAGCTGACAACTACCGACAAATCATTCAACAGCTTATTTCTGCTTATAAAGATTTAGGATGCAATATGTCACTCAAAATTCATTTTTTGGACTCGCATATAGATTTTTTCCGGAAAATCTTGGTGCCGTATCAGATGAGCATGGTGAAAGGTTTCATCAGGATATTAAGCATATTGAAAGATGGTACAATGGAAAATGGTCAGCAGCAATGCTTGCTGATTTTTGTTGGTCGATTCACCGAGAAACTTCGATGGAAACGATGAAAAGAAAAAAACTACAAATTAACTTAAATTATATTACCATAAAAAGATGAATATACTAATATTTTTATAACTTGTGATTTTAAAATTAGCATTTTTCGCTGTAAAACTTAGACCGTAGTCATTTTTCACTTTTTGTAATAGTTGTTACTTTAATAATATCGCTTTTCAATTAAATGGGTATTTGTATTCAAAATCTATGTGCTGTATTTATTTGCATGTTAAATTCCGTATTTAGAGCACCAAATATAATGTTATCATGCATAAAAACAATGAGGACAAAAAAAAAATTTTTTTTTGCAGACCAGTGTAATTAAACACTTAACGATTAGTTGCTATGATTATAAATAATTAATCAAAACTTGTATATAAAACGATTGTTTTGTCACCGGTACACTGAGTACTTTAACGATATAGGAAACGACAAAACGATGCAAACNTGAAAACCTAAATAGGTATTGCTATAATTTCTAGAAAAGATTTGAAAGGAATCACGCGTGTCAGAGTTATGTTTTGTATTAAAAAAATAAAAAGAAGTAAAAATAAAGTTAAAAGAACGCTTTGCTTACCGTTTTATCGTAAAGAAGTTGAATTTTACAGTCTAATAATACAGTCGAACCAATGCGAGCTGTAACATTGATAGGACCTGGGCCGTCTTCAAATAATGGAGACCATTTTGATCCAACTTCGTGAAGGTGATGATCATTTTCTTCCACCAAATTTTCTTCAATAGTAGCTATGGGCACAGTAATTGTTGTGGTTGAAACATTTTCTATAAGAAGAATAGCAACATATCATTATTATTAATATTATTTATGTTCATTTTTTATTTTTATGTAAAATTACAATATTTCACTAACATTTTACGGACTTAATTCCCATAGAAAAATTGAATTATTTGTTACAAGAAACTCGAAGAAGGCAAAAATAGAAAGGCGTGCACGTTATAAATTATTGTTTAAAAACACTATTACCAAGCAATGTTTTCACTAACAAAAAAGTATAACAAAAGTATTCACAAATGTATTCTATTGGCCAAGAAATAGGATATACTGTCTTATAGAATAATATAGTATTAAATAAAAAGAAAAATCATACTTGATATGCAAGCCATAAAAAGAAATCGAAATTTAGTTTAACGACTTTTATTGAATTAGTCTAAAGTAAGACTTGAATTTTTTAGAAACTTATTATTAAACATAATTGTTATATTGTGTTAACTATTATAGTTAGTTTAAACGTAATTTAAGTTTAAACTTAAGTTGTTTTTAAATCTAAGAATACACATAAGCGCAAACCCTAAACAAAAACTCTATAATAATATTTTAGAGGTGTTCATTTGAGAGAATTATTTTTTATTAATCTTTTTTTATAGAACTTCTGTTTGGAGAATTAATACTGACTTAGCGGCACAACTACTATGGTTTAAATTTGTGCTTCTGAATTAAATAAAAAATATGGTATTAGTTATATTAATACTTTAGTTTGGTTGTTGAGTTATATGAATGTAGGTCGGTGTCGATAATTAAGTTATATTAAAAGCTGTTATGAGTACAAAAATATAAACTTTATAAACACTTGAGATTGTGTAGGTTCGAGGGTTAATAATAAATACATATAATAATCAATCAAAGTATATACATCAATAATATTCAACAAATAAATACTAGAACATTTTTAATTATACTAATGACTAATGTAGTCACATCACAATTACAAGGAAATAATGCGAACCGGGTCAACATATTGATAGCATCACGTAACAATGTTTTTTTCTTTGTGTTTATTTAGCAATAAAGTTATCTTTTAATTTCTATGTTCTATCTAATATCGGAGTAACTAAAAAATTGGTCAATGGACTCAAGATGAAATGGTTAACGTAAACGTGTTATGAGCTTAAGTAACTAATTGATCGAACATGACTGTCAGTTGTGATGCACTTTTCTTCGGACTTTTTATATATTGCTAACTAATTATTATTTTTTTTGTAATGTATCTCATTATCGTAAAAGTTTATTAAGTATAGGTACATAACAATACATTTATTTTAATTTGACCTGCGCTATAGTCATTAGTTGTATTTGATAGTCGATTGTGTTTAATCGATACATACGATTAATAATTATATATATTATACATATATAAATATTACAACATACTCAAAAAGATGAGGAAGTGTTTNTGTAATGTATCTCATTATCGTAAAAGTTTATTAAGTATAGGTACATAAAAATACATTTATTTTAATTTGACCTGCGCTATAGTCATTAGTTGTATTTGATAGTCGATTGTGTTTAATCGATACATACGATTAATAATTATATATATTATACATATATAAATATTACAACATACTCAAAAAGATGAGGAAGTGTTTAAAAAATGTATGTGATATTTTTTTTACTCCTTTTTCAATTTTTTAAGAAACAATCTTAACTAAAGTTATGAGCAAAAAAAGAAAAGGTTGTCTAAATTATAGGTACCTTGTCTGTGAAAATCATCTATTTATGCCTCCTTCTTAACATAAATTTCTAAATATGCCCCTAGTAAATCGAAATTGATGTTTATATTTTCTTCCTCGAATACATCGATTAATCGAATCTATCGTGGAAATGATCGAATTAAATTAATAAAAAAATGAGTTTATTAGTCAATAGTATCAATTATAATAATTTTCTGTTCGTTTAATAATTAAAATCAAGATTAAACAACTTCTTGCTATTATCTATCCATCACAACATTGCAACACATGCAAATTTAGAAAATTATAATTATCACTATATAAAAATTTTCAAAAAAATGTATATTTTAGGTGTTCTAATGTATTGGATTTCTATTTTGCTTTCAACAGGGGCTTTCCCAAGCTAAAAATATTAGAAGAGGTGAAAAATTTATTTTGGTGATTGAATAATTTGTTTTAAATAGTGCGACTGTTTTTAATAACTTTTATATGGTAGAGCATCCTCTTATATTAAAAAAACACAACCCAGCACAGGGGGGTCGCGGCATAGTGGTGACGTGGCATAGATGGATCAAGTATAATGATATCTGACAGTGATTAAAATCACTATAAAAAAAAAACGCTTAGATGCAAATCTTTAGATAGTGTTTAATTTTAAAAAATTGGTGGATTATTTCAAAAGCTACATGATCTGCTAGTTCATTATTAATATCCTAATTAAGATAAAGTATGTCGAATGAAAAAGGGATTATTAAAAAATATTATTTCTCATAAAAAAATAATGTTGATCCATACACTTTTCAATATGTCATAGCATTATAAAATTAAAAATGTAAAAAACAAAATCGAAAATTTTCACACAAAAATAGCATTTGGTAGCCATTTTCACCGTGAAGATAAAATAAAGTCCGAAATTTTTTTTTTTCACGATAAAGTATATTACATTAGCTTTAATTTAAGATATATATAAAAGTGTCAGACTTTCCGGAACATTTTCAAAAATCAAATTGAAAAAAATAATTTTTTGTGAAAAAGTTGTCATTTTAAATTCCCCCCTGTGGGCAAGTAAAGGGTCACATATAAAAAAAAAATATACCAAATGAAAGGTAATGATATCATAAATCTATAAAAAAAAGAATTATATTGATTTGGTTATTTTTAAAAAAGTTATAGCAATTTTAAGTAAAAAAAATTGAAAAAATTTCGAAAATTAGTGATTTTTAAATTTGTAATTTTTTTGGAGGTTTCCCCCATTTACGGGGAACGAGGGAATNTTTGGAGGTTTCTCCCATTTACGGGGAACGAGGGAATTTTTTTCAATTTTTGAGGGTAATGTCTTCGACTAGATACGATTTGTGATCTTTTGACGTATCATTGAAAGAAATCGGTTCGGCGAGAGCTGAGAAAAAGTGGTAACAGACACAAAAAAAAAAAAAACACATCTTAGTATAGCCAATATCTTCTCAGCTTCGCATCAAAGCTAAAATGTCGACTAAAACGATTAAATTTTGACATGTAGGAGGTTTCACTCCTACGCCAACTCTCAGAACGGTCCTGGTTTTCAAATAAACCGCTTAAAAATGTTTTTTTAGAAAATTTTTCGTAGTATTATAGACGGCTAAAGTTTAATTTATCTCATTGTATGTGTGTCACTATTTTACTAAAAATAGATATCATCATTGTTAATAAATGGCTCATGTAATGAGATCAGTATTTTGGTCAAAATGAATATGATAGTGTCACTTTCAATTACTTACAATATAACAGCTACAAATTTTAATATTAATAAGATACATTGATATTACTCAGTAAAATTTAAATTTAATAGCTTTTGTGTTTTAATTAAACTATCTTTAAAAAGAGTTTTGTGAGATACATTAGTTTTTTTAGAAAATAAATAGTATTTATACGTGTTAAGTAGAAATTTGCTAAAATTATAATTATATTTCCATTAAAGTAATAACCAGGTGCCTTTAAGTCCCAGCAGTTGACGAAACGGTAGAGATGATTATATAGACTTTCGTGATATGTCTTTTACAGGCATAAAATATATAACTATAACTATATAGAGTGATTTTAATGGTAATTGCGTTAAAGACCTGTACAACGTATATGGGATGCTTTACTTATATTACTCATCATAGTCTTTTGTTATGCTACCACTCAGCCATGAAAACAAGATTAAACGAAACAAGGTTCAATATTCTAGTTTGACTTAAAAGAAATATATTTATCCAAGTATATTAAATTAAAAAGCTTTTATGATTTTAAAGAATTTTTGAAAATAGAAATAATTTCATAAAAGTTAACACAATGTGTCTTATTAGTTATATAAATATTTAAATTACAATATTGTGAGAACAATATTAAAACATGACGGGTAATTTTATTAAACGAGAATTACTATGTTATTCAAATATAGTTTAAGGACACTAGTAGGGGTCTTATCCAGAATTAAGTGATTCATTATCAGCGTTAAGAAAATTCCATTTTTAAATGGAACCGATTCATGATCCAGTCCCTTAAAAAATATAACTCGTTTCCTTTTTCGTTTTTTTATTAATATTAAAAAACCTGCTATTATTAGGATATTGCTAAGTAATTTTGTCAGCATAAGCTAATTTTTCAATGTTTTATTATATAATAACATTACAACCATAGTTTAAAATTAAATTATAGGGTATATTTTAATTATCCTGTGCATATGCGCAATTTTACAAAATGATTGGAGATTAAACTTAATTTATCAACTCTTTAAAAATTTTAAAAAAATAATTATTATGTAATTTTTATAGGTTTTTTTTGTAGGAGGAGGGGAGTTGTAACAGAATTAGGGGGCTAAGCTTCCTTTGGATCTCACATATTGTGCCTATGGTCCTATGCTTTCATGATATTGTATTTTTAATGTAATTATTTGTTTTATATCATTGAAAACTAATGATATAGTAGTATGCTAAAAATGAAATGTTGACATCAGAATATAGACATAACACAGATATATAATTAGGGTCATCAGATTTCAGTGTAAAAAATATTGTTAATATATTTTTGGGAAGATTTCCTCTTTGACACTGCTCATTATTAGTACTCATCATTTCATATGTTTGAGGAATCCTCACTAGGATTTCAAATTTATAATATTGTCCTAATCCAGATATCAACATATCAACATATAACATGTATGTTTTAAGACAAATATAACAAATATTTTGAAACAGTATTCGATGATGAGCTATAAGGAATGTTTAACTACTTTTTCTAATGATAACTATTCATATCATTCCAGTCAGAAAAATTATACGTAAACTTTT